TTTTAGTCTTTATTTGTCAGTTGTAAAGTTTAGTTAGGATTTGTGGTATTGGAAAGAAAGACTTTGAAGTGAAGAAAAAGAAGATTTGGCTGCCCAGGAGCAAATACCCGACCGAGTATAAACCCTGACCCGGTCGGGTAAGAAGTGAAAAACGAAAATGCAAAGAAAGTGCATGGCCCGGTCGGGCCCACTACCTCACCCGGTCGGGTGAGAAGTGACCGGGGACAACCCGGTGTGCAAAGATCACCCGAACGTGAAGAAAATCCAATTTTTGCACTCACCCGGTCGGGTCCCTTACTTGACCCGGTCGGGTCTGACTTGACCCGGACACTTTAACATGCCGAAGATCACCAGAACGTGAGGAAATATCTGATTTTTACCGGACCCGGTCGGGTGAGTACTTGACCCGGTCGGGTACCCGGCCAAAGGTGTTGAAAAACACCTATAAATAGCACACTTTTTCTTCTCTAAAAATGATCCCTTCTTCCATACTCTTTAGCTCAGTTTAGAATAGCATTTCTTTATATTTTTCTAGCTATGTTTAGTCTCCAAATGAGGAGCTAAACTTCCATTCTTGGTGTTGCTCTTGAAGCTTGTTGATTATTAAAGTTGTGAGTTATTTTCTTAACTTCTTTCCTTGAATATTAATTAATAGTTCTTTCCTTAATACCATCTCTATATTAATGTTGGGGAGTGTTGCTAAGATGACAATTAGTTAACATGTCGACATTAGTTAGAATGGTATTTTCTTCATCTATATTAATGTTGGGGAGTGTTGCTAAGATGACAATTAGTTAACATCTTGATATTAATTATAGTAGGATTCATCTTCTTTAATAATATTCTTCCTTGAATATTAATTAATTCCTACTCTTATTTCATATTAATATTTTGAACATTACTTAAAGGATCAACTAGTTTTGTTTCATATATTAATTATTACTAGAAACGATCAACGAACCGATGGTTAATCGTTGATGGTTTCACAAGTAAGTAACTTCGGTTTATTAATGCACGGTCGTGGTTAATAAACTTAAGAGGGATTAATTTTGTTGGTTAAACCGAAACCGCTTGTGTTGAGGTTATCAATCTCAATTGATTTCATCAAAGAGTTAGAAAGATTAAATGCTACTATTAAATCGGTATAAGGCGTTGTTCTATATTTGATTAATAGTAAGGGTTATTAATGAACGGTTGTTGTTAATAACTACCCTCGATGAAGTGGATATACTCCCCGATTGAGTATTCGAGAGGGAATAAGTTATAGATATAACAATGATCGACTAAAATATATCAACAAGTGGAAAGTAGCAATGCCAAGTTCCTTTTATTCTCGAATTAAACACATATAGGTTGTTCATCTTAGTTTCTTTATTGAATTAAATCACTCAAAACCAAATCCCCCCTTTATTTACTAAGTGTCATAAAAAGAGAATTATTCCTTTCCCTGTGGATACGAACTCTACTACGCTATACTACGTATAAGTGTTTAGTATTGAATTTATTTTGACGCACCGTGACAAAGTGCTCGTCAATTATTGTACATTATTATTATTCAGATGTTCTAGATTAGTTTTTGTACTATCAGTCCATTTATGTAACCGGGTCTGTCAGGCCCATATTAGAGGCCCAGACCCGGATTTTCCCTATATATACTCCTTATAGGAGGCTATTGAACCACGGCCAATATTCATTCACAATGAACATATATCTCCTTCTCTACTACACTCTTGTTCCGATCTCTTTAGTTATAGGATATGGGTATCAATTATCCAACAAGAAGTGATAACAAATATCAGCCTCTTAAACAAATACTCATCTGCGATCAAATGAGGCGTGCGCTCACACGTTGGCAGTTTCATTGACCAGTCTTTCCGTCTTTATTCTTTTTTATGTTACCGATCTTTCAGCTAATGATGTGCACGTTAGGAATGGAAAGAATAAACATTACTTCTTTTTTTAAACTTTTCCTTTAATGATCATCGTCTCCACTCTTCTCTTACTCTGCGATCAATTTTGTTTCTTCGTATTAAACTTGTCTGGCCTCCATCATCTTGTCCATCAATTTCTAGCAGCCATCAGCGATCTATTGGACATAATTTACGTTGCTATTGGACGTCCATAGAACCAGGTTATTTAATCACCGTCCCAATTTTATATTTTACGTGATATATTTTATGTGTTCTAGATCACTTCTTATACAAATCTTTATTTTTGTGTTTCGCATCACCTTGTATGAACGAACCACACTTATTATCTCACCGGATTAATAATAAAAAATCGAATTTTAATTGACTTTAATATGTCTCGTGCTAATATTTAAAAAATCGAACTTAAAAGGAATCACACTTATTCATTTGAACATAGGAACATTATAAAATGTTATAAACGATTCACACAACTTTTTCATTTATATTTTATATTTTACGTGATATACAGTTTATTTTACGTGAAGCACACTTCATTTATATTTTATGCACAACTACAGTTGCGTGCTTTTTAACGTAGGAGAATCAAGTACTTGTGAGATATCTCCCGGTCTATCGAATTATTGGATTCCTGAATGCAATAGTGATGGTAAGCCCATTGTTGGCAAGGTTATTCAAAAGTTTGCAAGATTGTATTGACTTCTACAAGGAATATGCATCTATATGTGGCTTTGATCCGTGACTAAAGACCCAAAGGAAGCACAAAGATGGTTGAATTTTGTTGACATATGTTGTTTGCAACCATCAAGGTTTTAAACCTGATGTAGTTGTGCAAAGTGAAGGTATTATTCAGAATGATGAAGGTGTATATGAGAATATGAATGTGGAAAATAATCCACAACCATGCACGCAAAATTCAAATGTTGATAATACTATGGAGACAGTCGAGAAAGAACCTGATTTGACCTCACCCACATCCTCACAACAGTGTAGTTTAGATGACGATTCCAATAGAAGACATCGTGTATCTACAAAAAATGGTTGTAATGCATGTGTAGCATTTAACTATTCTGGCCTAGGTTGTTACTCTGTGTACAAATTTGAAGAGTGTCATTGTCATCGTATGTCTGATGAAATGCACAAACAAATTCTTAAGGTGAATAGAAATCTTGATCAGGGTCATAAGAAATTTGTCATCAATTGTGCCGAAGCTAATATTGGTCCTATGAAGTTATATAAACTTTTTAAAGAGATAGTTGGTGGATATAACAATATTGGTGCGACTGCGGTAGACTTCAAAAACTTTAAACGAGATTGGAAGGCATACATTGAGGGCGTTGATGCACAAATGTTGATTATATTGATGAGTTATTTAGGAAGGTGGAAATGTGTTCATTTTTTCTTTTATTATGATGTGGATGACAGTGATAGGTTGACTAGGATTGTTTGGGCGGATCCGATTTCTAGGCAAAATTATTCCTACTTTGGAGACATGGTATCGTTTGATGCAATGTATGATACAAACAGGTCTGTTTTTATTTTTGTTTTATCGATTTAATTAATGCATAACTACATTAATAATTTTCTCACGAAATGTTTTATTATGGTGTAGGTGCAATTTGGTTTTTGTGCCATTCACCGATGCTGACAATCACAAAAAATGCTTACTTTTGGTGTTGGGTTACTTTTGAAAGAGGATGTTGACTCATGTCTGGCTTCTATCTCGGTTTTTCAAGGTAATGGGGAGTGAACCAACATGTGTAATAACTAATCAAGATCCCGCTGTGCATTGCTATTGAGAAGGTAATTCCTCATGTTAAACATCGCTATTGCATGTGGCATATAATGAACAAGTTGACTACTAAAGTAGGTCTGGTTCTTAGTAAGGATGTTGACTTTTTTACAAGGATTAATGGTGTTGTGTGGATTCACTATCCAGAGCCTGCTGATTTTGAGGAAAAATGGAAATCAATTATGACTGATGTTGACCTTATGGACCACAAATGGTTTGTAGACTTGTGTAATCTGCGCAAGTTTTGGATTCCAGCTTATTTTAGAGACTTGTGCATGGCTGGTTTGTTTCATACAACTTCAAGGTCTGAAAGTGAGAATAACTTCTTTAGTGAGTTTACTAACCGTCACTTCAGCCTCATTGAGTTTTACATGCAATTTGAAAGTGCAATGGATGCTCAACGCCATAACAATGATAAACTAAATTCAAGCTTGGAGTCTTATATTCTTGTTTTCAAAACTCCCCTATCCATTGAAAAGCACGTTGCGGAGATGTATACGCTCACAATATTTTATTTAGTGCAAGCTGAAATTGCATCTGCTTGTTTTAATTGTCACGTGCTTAGTGTGATCTAGCATTATGGTAAGTTAGATTATGTTATTCAAGATGATTGGCGTGCACTTTATCGTGGTGTGCACTCAAAATAAATATCAATACAACGATTATACGTAGTATAACGAAGTAAGGTTCGTATCCACAGAGAAATGAATACTTCTCTTTTATAGAACTAGTAACAAAGGGGGATTTTAAGGTTACGTTGTTGTTAAAACTTAAATGTATTTTTAACACTAAGATGAACGACTTATGTGGTTTAATTAATTAGAGATGGAGACTTGGTTTTGCTTATATCCACTTAATGAAATGTTCATCGGTCCCGGTTATATCTTTAACTATATTTAACTATCTTCCTCTCGAATACTCAAACGTGCAGTATCTCCAATTCATCGAGGGTAGTTATTAATAACGAGACGCGTTCATTAATAAAACTTACTATTAAGTCAATATAGAACACGCGTTATATATTGACCCGACAATAGCAATAAAACTTAAGATGAAATCGATAGAGATTGATAACCTCAACACAAGTGGTTTATTGATTTAATCAATATAATTAATTCCCCTTAGATTATTAACCATGAGACGCATGCATTAATATTCCAAGTTTACTACCGTGAAAGGACCGAACGATCAACAAGCGTATTCGTCGATCAATTCTAGTAATAATTAATATATGAAACAAAACTAGTTGATCCTTTAAGTAATGCTCAAAATATTAATATGAAGTAAGAATAGGAATGTAATTAATATTCAAGAAAGATAATTAAAGAAAATAACTCACAACTTACAAGTCATTAAGCTTCAATGTAGCAAAACCAAGATGGAAGAGTTTAGCTCCTCATTTGGAGACTAAACATACTAGAAAAATATAAAGAAAATACTATTCTAAGTTGAGCTTAAGTATATGGAAGAAGGGATGATTAAAAGTGAAGGAAAATGGTGCTACTTATAGGTGTTTAGCATCAACAATGCCAGATACCTGACCGAGTATTTGAGATACCCGACCGGGTATTTGAGATACCCGACCGAGTATTATAGATACCCGACCGGGTATTTGTCAAATCTTTTTCCCACGATGTTGTGTTCTTCCACACGTATTTTGCTTCGAAATCATATCATACCCGACTGGATATTAATGCATTTTGTTAGCAACTTTGTTTTTCACTTCATACCCGACCGGGTAAAGGCCATGCAGTAAATTCCGAAGTCGTCGGTGTTTTTCGCGTCCCTCCGAACCATTTCATTAACATTCTTTGTGGTTTCACATTTGCCATCATTGCAGCCTTTGCCTCTAATGGTTCATATTTCACGTATTTCAGGAGCATATCTCTCTGCACCATTTCACAATATAATTAATATTTTTTTCATTATATTAAGAACATTACCATTGATAGTATAGAATTGTTATTGTTTATCTTTGTAATTTTAACTAGTTTTATTTATTTTTGTTTGGGAAATTACACACTTTTGGTGTAATACTTTATTTTTCCTAGTTAATTGTAATTTATTAGTTTTAGAAGATTTTGAGCTTGAATAAAACAACTCTACTTCACTATACTACGTATAAGTGTTAGTATCGAATTTATTTTGAGGCACATACGACTTTAGTGCCGCCAACCGTACATAATTATTTTGTACTTACTATCACTTCAAGCATGCGCCCATATCTCTCCTGTAATGCTCCTTGTGCAGACGAGCTATCTAGTATATCATTTTTTTGTTTTTCAGATTCAAACAAATCACGTACATGTGATTCAACTGCACTATTGGGACAAATGTCTGCACAACAAACGTCTAATCACCACATACTATTCCATGAAGCAATACTAACACACATGTCATAAAAACAAACTAACCAAGTCAATGTCACTTATATTAACAAAAACTTTCATTGTGTTCATAACCTCTTCTATGCCATCTCCAAATAGTAAAAACCTTTCCTCTTGTTTCATTTTCATTGCATCTGATTTGTAAAGCTGTTTTTGTAAAACAATATACACAGTTAGAAAAACTTTAAGTTGAAGGTTTTGAAAAAAAATCAGGGAACTCACACAAGGAAACGGCTTTGTGAACAGCCTGCATGGTGAATCCGCACTCCTCTCTTCTTCCCTTCTATTAAGTACGGTGGCCCAAGTCCTTAAAACGATACTCTCAATATGTCCACTCCCTTTCATGCATCTGAAATTTGATCTTGCCACACAAAAGTCCTTGAATTTAAAAACAACCTCCTCACTGCACTTATTGTTCAAATTTGCATTAATTTTCAAATATTATTTTCAATACATGAGTGTTTCACATGTCACCAAATCAACGTCACTTGTACAAATTAAGAATTAGTTTAAACTTATGCATCCCCATTTGCAGAGAATACTATCCATGCAGCGACTGCCTTCTCAACCACCGTCCATGCTACATTTGGGTCCACTGTCCTACTAATGAAAGGCGGTTTTAGAGCAATTGATGCTTTGTGATTTCTTCAGTTTTTATCATCAATTGTGTCATTGTGCAACTGCGCATTGAAAATTTGTAAAAAAAACCAGTACAGTGAGTATTACAATTCTTCACACACTAAGAAGGGGTCATAATGTACCTGCTTCACCTCCATTAACCTATCACAAATGATAATGTATGTTATTAATCAACTATATGCACACTAATAAATGCACACACTTTAACCAATACTAATGTACATAATTAATCCACTGTATGTCATTAACCTATAAGTTTAGCCTGTAAGTGTACCTGCTCATTGCTCTTGTGCACCTGAGTTATGATCAACCTCCCCTCATCTTGCTCTAGTTCAGGCTGCGTAAATCATAAGCTGGAACTGGGAATGCTTTCAAGCACACATTTAGAATGAGTCTTTTTGAAACCATCATTTTCAGCTTCAACTAATGCATCTAAATTGTTCTGATCAGACCAGAACACTTCATCCGCGTTCATATCTTCACTTAGGTGTCTCGGCGTCTCACTTTGCCCCTCATCTTGTGTTTGTGCTAATCCAATGGGTATATTTGTTGCTTCCAAAATCTTCTCCACTCTTACTTTCCCTCGAACATCATTTGGGGCTTCTTCAATCAAAATGACCATGCCAATCTTTATTGAGGCTAGCATGTCACTTTTTGCCTCCAATTTCGAAATCAAATCCTATCAAATATCTCACAAAATCACTTAATATGTTTCAAAATGCATTCAAAAGATTCATAATCATACTATATATATATATATATCAAAAATTCTACTCCTTCAGATCCTTGCAGAATATGCACCCCTCATCCCATGTTTCTCTTCCCCTCAACAGAGTTGTTGTCCACCATATTACTGCCAGAACTGTCCTTGGTGATGTCCTCTTGTAAAGCACCACCCTGCCCACATAAAACACCTGCAATTTTGGGAAAATTTGGGAATGTTAGTACATATTTATTTTTGTTTTAATGCATTGCATCTTACCATCAAAATCAGGATCAGCCCGATGAAGATTCTGAACTTTTTATTCTCCCATGCTTTTCTATTTTCAATTAGAGTGGACATCACATATTCGCACCAGTTCAATTCCTTAATTCCTTCAATAGTCTCCAAATTGTTTAAAATTTGGTGGTTCACATAGCCATTCTGATAGCTATCTATTACCACAGATATGAGGAGCAATAAAAAATGTCTTATGAACCAAATCCCACCTTGAGTGCACTCTAACATTGCTTTGCAGACTTCCGTAGGAGTAATTTGATTCTCATTCTTCGGAAACAACGCTCTCCACTCGTGTAACACTGCACACTTTGCTAACATATTCTTCTTCACAATTGATTTACTACCTCTGGGAAACCCGAGAACCAGCTGCACATCCTCCCCCTTCACCTGTAAAATGTCATCGCATCCTGTCAACTTGCAGTTCTTCGGGTCAAAAGATCTCACCACCCAATAGGCCAGCTTGGACGGCATCTCAGGTATATTCAAACTTAACAAGCTTCCAAACCCAAACTTTTCAACTTCATTCTTTTGTTGCTCAGTAAATTGTATCATTGCTCTCACGATGACATTACGTATGACCTACATTGAAGTGATGACAGTCCCTCTTTCATCAACGTAATTTTTCTTTTTCGACTTTTCTTCACATTTGCACCTTGGTTTTCCACACCAGCTTCTCCCCTCTTGATTACCGCTTACGCGGCGTTGTAGTAAAACGGAGTCTAATCTTTCGGTTTTCCCCCGAGTATCGTGTCTCTGAGGAATGGCGGAGGGAAGTGTTGGTTTCAATATCGGTCACAGGTTAGTACAAGTCATTGCAAGCTTTCTCAAACGATTATTTGTGATAATGATTAAACAAATAAAATTAAACAACAAAAGTACTAACGGAGAATTTAATTAAATGACATTAATGAGTAAACTAAAACTAGTGAACATGCAAAATAACTTGAGAGAGAAAAAAAATGATTAAAATATTAAACTAGCAAGCACGTGGATGAGTAAAGTTTCAAAAATAAAATACTAAAAGGTAAATTTAATGTGACTAGTAGCAATAAATTAACTGATTAAAAGTGGGGTTTAGATTTGGAATTAAGGATCTTGGGTGTCTTTGATTATAAATAAATTTGGGTATTTTCTCCAATCTAAGAATAACATTAATTCTCATAGACAAGAATTTAATTTTAATTCCCTAACATGTCCTATTTTTAGGCTTAGTGTGAGGTGTGTGAGATGTGAGCTAAATTAATTCTACACTCATAGACAAGCAAGAATTAATTTTCCAAACATTCACAAGTGAAGTGATCAATTTCACAAATTACTCATTTAAATTTATCTCAAACAACTAATCCTAAAAATTAGAGAATTTTCCCAAATTCAACTCGATATTCAAGAACACCCATTAACCTAAATTCTATCCAAATCCAAACCCCATGGAGGTTTAGCCTAACATAATTATCAAACTACCATTAACGGAGGAGCTAAAGTAATACATGGAGATAATTCAATTACAAGTTCGAAATAATAGCAATTCAAGAACAACTGAAACGAATTCGAATTTAAAAATAATCCAATTATAAAAATAGAGAGCTTGTTTAACCGTGAATCGAAGGAAGAAATTAACACAAAACCTTAAAAGTAATACATGATGAACATAGATCAGCTGTCGTTACATTCTTCTTTCTCCTAGACCGTCGGCAATTTTCTTTCCCCCGGTTCTTGCCGCTAAGCTTCCTTGCGGCCTGCTACCCGCAACTGAAGAGTGATTTTTTGTTGTGGTTGTCCGCTGCATATCTTATCTTTTTCGTTGGTTGCAGCCAAGCCATGTGCTCCTTCCAGCTATCCCTCTTCCCTTGTCATAATCCTTTTTGTTGACCCGCTGCCAGCTTCTTTTTACTTGATTGGACAACCGCTCATTTCCTCTCCTCCTTCCTCTATTTCTTGTGTTTTTTTTCTTTTCTTTATTTTGAAATGCAGCTACGCTGCTTGTTTTTTTGGGTTTTCTTTTTCTTATTTTTTGGTTTTCTTTTACTTTGTTTCATTTCTGTATTGTACTAAAAGATATCAAATTGAAATATAACAGATCACAAAAAAAATACAAATAAGTCAAAAAAAACACAAAATCAATCCAAACACTTCAATTAAACACAAATTACTAAAAATGAAAATTTAAACACTAATTTCAAACATTAATAAAAATGCAATAAAAATGCAGAAAAATGTAACAATTCACCCCGAGTTTGACAAGAAACGCTATAAAAAGTGAGTGAAAATATATGAACAAATCAGACTTATCACCTCTCTTGCCCATGTAATGGCGGCGCCTCGAAATCATCATCACGATTGTCACTTCCATCATCAACAATTTGGTCACGGCCCCCCTTTTTGTTCCTTTCAATATGTTGCGCAACTGCTGCATTAGAGGATCTTCCTCCATCCTCTTTTGTGTTTCCTTTGGCAGGTTGAATCCTACCACTACGATGCGGGCTGCCCGATGCACTTCCAATGCTAGAGCAGCTAAGGTACATATGATTTGCACGCTTGTTGAACTCAACCATTTTAACCACCATTGTACATGTACATTTGTAATCATACAAAACATTGTTATCACATATGAATAACATTCTCACATGCATCATAGGCACAAGACAACCATCTCAGTTCACATTAATGCACAAAATAACTTACTCATCTCACAAAATAAAAGAAAACATCATGACAACCTCTATTCCCACTACCACTATTTCATACAAACAATTACCTTGCATTTGCACCTGCTCACTGCTTTGTGCAACTTCTTTTGAACCTTTTTGCATTTTACGAACCACTGGAACAATAGCGTTATTCTCTTTTATCTTCCCACGGTTCATTGCTCCATCAATGGCAACTGCACATTTTTGAATTGTGAATTGCACATTCAGTATTTACATTAAATTGTTCACTCAAACAACTAATATATACACATTCAACACTACTATGAAAAATAACCTACAACACCTATGTCACACCAGAAGCACCATATCCATCTCTATTAGCACTACTATATCATTCAAGTGCACTACACCTTTGAATTTGAATATATGCATAAAACCAATCACTAACAATTGTCACCTCACAAATACAAAATTTCAAGTGCACCATATCCATCTCTACTAGCACACTATTCACAATTGTCACCTCACAAATACAAAATCAATCTTGTTCACAACCTGTATTCACACAAATTTTGTATTCCAATGCACAAAAGCTCTTGGTTGTTTCAATTTCTTATAATCTGCATTGTATTACACAAAACAATAAACATACTACACATTGTCCAGTACATTGACCATTTCCTGAACTACCAAATATATGTCACACCAACATCACAACAACAATCTCTACTATCACTACCTTGTCATTTTAGTGCACTATACTTAATACTTTCGCAATATGCACATCGACAACCTATCATTTGCACAAACCTAGTAATAACATTCAAATTCATGTTACTACAAACAAACCCACACCATCATCTCAGAAATAAATAAAAAATATACATGAATCCAATTCCCACTATTTTAAATTAAAATGCACAATAACTTCTTTTTACTTCATAACAAACCATCGCTTGCAAAAACCAATGTGCATATATGTGAACAAATCGAACCCTAATCCCTTAAATCTTCCAACAATGCCCCATTACAAAAACAATATAAAATACACACATGCAATAGAAAAATTGTCCAATCTTTAACCAATAAACCCACTTAGTGTTGAACTAACTGCACATTAACTGCATCTAATAATGTGAACACATACCTTTTTCATTATTTGAAGCCGGATTCATCATTTGGAACTCTTCTTGCACAGAACTCATTGTCGCCGTTCACCTATATTCTTCTCTCTGCAACTTACTTCCTCTTTCACTTCGACGGCGGAAACTTAAATTCATATGCCCGATTATCAATTTGGGCAGTTACCATATATGAGTCTCTTTATTCACATTTTTGTTAACAATATTTTTGTGAGATTTTTCCTTAAATATTACTAGTAAAAAAATAATGGACACAAAATGTAGTCACTATGATGTAGACATATACTAGTATGTAATTAATAAAGTTAAAACTATTTGACCGGCACATGGATTAATAAAGTTAAAACTACGTGGTTGAGTTTGTGCAGAAGAGAGAGAATTATTTGGAACCACACATTCATTACTAAAAAAGAAAAGTGGCAAAATTAGTACGACAACAGGGAAGTTGGCAAGTAACAAAAACTAAACAAATTAAAACCCAAGAAATGAATGGAGACAAGTGAACGAATGATAAAGAAGGCGATTGCATGCATGGTGCATGGCCATTGGAAAATGAATGGTTCCCAAATTGCATGGCGCCCTTAACATCTTCTTCCTCCTTTTTAAAGCATTTCCCTTTCTTGGCTGCACCACCTGATCGGGCCGGTACCGTTCCTATATATAAGTAATATAACCCCATACCCCAGTCCTTCTTAATACCACCAACTCCTTAGCAACGCCTAAAAAAGAGCCTCCACAACCTCCTCCGGCCGCGGCGGCGCTCTTCGGTGTCCGCCACGGTCGCATTCCAAACCTTTCCAACGCCATTATATATTGCCTTCTCTTTGTGAATCTAAGTTTGGTAACGATGACGTCGTCAGAGTTAAATATGGGAGAGGGTGAGATCATCAAAGAGAGATCTTTGCCGTCGTCGTCATCGTCGTCACCATGCGAATCAGAGAGCGAAGAGATCCAGCGTCTAGAGCACGCGCCGCCGTTTTGGAGGAACCGCAGGCGATTGTCGAAGCAGCTATCGATGTGCGAGACGCCGCGAGACATCGCGTGGGAGAGGCGGCGGCGCCACATTCTCCTACAAGGGAGGAGGAATAAGAGCGAGGATGGAGAGTCGTTGACCGACGACGACCTTAACGAGCTTAAAGGGTGCATAGAGCTAGGGTTTGGATTTAAAGAAGAAGAAGGGCAACGCTTGTGTAACACATTGCCTGCCCTAGACCTTTACTTCGCCGTGAACCGCCAGTATTCGTCTAGTCCGGTGTCAACGCCGGGGAGCAAGGGGAACTTACCGTCGCCTTCATCGTCGGCATCATTGGGAGGGAGGTCATCATCGTCGTCGTTGAATAGCCCCAGTAGTGATTCTGATTCATGGAAGATTTGTAGCCCAGGTGACACAACCTAACTTTAATATTACCCTTGTCCCGAAACGTTTTGTCAAATTGATTTTGTATATAATTTATAAATTTTATACTTATATGAAAATATTTTGAATAAGGAACATTTTAATATAATTTTCATATTAAAAATAATTTCCTACTCCGTATTAAACAATATCATTGATCAAAGTTGATTAATATCAAGAAAAGTCAATTTGGCAAACCAATTATGATGTGTTCCAGTTGACCAATTGGCTTAAGGAGTAAAAGAGACAAAGAGATGGTCAAGTAGGATTGTCATTATTTTAGTCCCACACTCATATTTGGAGCAATTTATCTTTCATTAAACCAACAGAAACATGAGATTATACATATACCAAAATAATAAACAAAAAATAAAGACAAGATTTTTCATCTTTTTGAAAGTTTCCCCCCTCCGAAAGCACTGTAAAAAATGCACAAAATAAGAGTAAGAACATGGTGTATGTACAAAAACAGGGGTACATATTTTTTTGTCAAAGTAAAACTTATTTACTCTTATGAAAAGATTGAATAAAATTATAAATATAATAATAAGAGTAGATGAGTTCTATTATGGGGAGAAATGTTCTCCTATTTGAGTAAATGTGTTACTTATACTCGTATGTAGCTGACAAATAATAATAAGCCAAAAACAAGTTAATAGCTAAGTTAGAAAAAAGATTTTGAAATAGAACTAAAACATGTGAAGTATATTTGCCTCTTTTTGCCATAATTGACTCTTTTTAGTCCAAGTGTTATACTTTGACCACTCTTTTTAATCAATATATAGGGCACATCATAATTCATTGAGTTTGATAATTGAAATTTATTGATATATTATATAGGTGATAATCCTGAGCATGTAAAGACAAAGTTGAGGCATTGGGCACAAGCAGTTGCATGTTCTGTGATGCAATCCTATTGAAAAGTGGGAATTTGATGGATGGCTTTACAAAAGGACAAGCTAGCTAAATAGTAGAGGGGTGGAAAATATTGATGAAAGAGAGGTTACTCTAATCCATATTTTCATCTATATACCTTTTATTCCTTTTTTTGTAAATTAAAATTAGGGAGCTAGAGAAATTAAGTGCAAGCCCAAAATATAATTTAATTCAACAAAACAAAACAAAAGTTGCAATTTTTCTAACAACAAAGGGATGATGGGGCATTACTAGATTTCTTGTTTGGGAATGGTAAAAGAAGTGAAGGCAAGAAAGAAGAAAAATGGAGATGGGATCGCACATTATATTACAACTACCAAACAAGCTTGGAGTCGTACGTACGTACGTTGACTGCATGCATGCAAGCGGACAACAACGTACTGCACGAATTGAAAAGCTTTTTTGGTTTTTTAATTTAGATCAGATTGTGGTACGCCGCCGTTTTGGTCTATGTTACATCAAGTTACAGGCACATCGGCCGGCCCTAGCTCCTATGAATTGAATGAACAATCCATGCATGTGTGTGTAGTGTGTGTATGTATGTAGCTCATGGGTCATGCATGATGCATGGGACTAAGTTTGATCAGTTAAATGTGATGGTGTACATGTATGTATGTAAATGTTACCAGTATGTATGTAACATATATAGTTTATGTATGTGATTAAAAAATTGTATATGTGTTGCAATGTTGATAGATGTGCTCATGTAGGTGCATATTTAGGTGTTTACTTGCATAATTAAAAACATGTGTGAAGTGTAGGGGCCGAGCGATGGTATAATAGGGGCCGATTGACGGAAAATAATACTACTTCCGTCTTGGAAGGTTCTCATAGCAAAACGGCACGGTTATTTAGACAATAGTTAATTAAGAAGAAATTCCACTTATGGTCCTTCGAGTTTTGCACCAATTCCACAATTAGTCCTCGTCTTTCATTTTATCCATTTTTGGTACCTGACTATTGTTTTCTTAACCATTTATAGTCCTTTTCCGATAGTAAAAATGCTCAGAAATGGACCACAAATGGTCAAGAAAACAATAGTCAGGTACCAAAAATGAATAAAGTGAAAGATGAGGACTAAATATGGAAATGACACAAAACTCGGAGGACCTAAAGTGGAATTAATTCATTAAATAAAGTAGTTCGAGTACATTTTGAGAAAAAAATTTAATAGGTATATATTATATAGTAGTTAGTATTGATAATTGCGACGTTATAAATGTATTGTTTTTAATATTTAACGATTAATTTTCACTTAAGATTGTTAATTGTTTCCTAACACGGAAATGAGAACATTTATATTGGAAGTCCAAAAAGGAAAGTGGGCAGTGGCGGAGCTAGGAAGTCAGCTATGTAGGGGCCGCTCTATTGAAAAACTACTTGGAATTAAAAACTTATGATCTAATAGATAAAGCATTGTTTCCCAACAAAGGTCATACGAAAGAGTTTTACACAACAAAAAGTTTAAGATAGTAGCTAAGTTATCTGGAGTTCTGAATGAAAAGCAAAATAAGTAAAATACATGTTTTTATTGCAGTCTTGCACGTCTCTCCTTCATCAAATAAAAATTATCATCAATGATTTTGTCCACGGGAATCTTTTCAGCAATTTCTTTTTCAATGTAAGTAACCACGAAATCCCTAAGAAACCCATCTTCCACTCTGTTTCGAAGTCTTGTTTTGAAAATCTTCATCGCTGAAAAAGCATGCTCAGTGGTTGCTGTCGAGACTGGAAGAGTTAAAACCAATCTAATCAATCTATCAATCAAAGGATAAATTTCAGACTTCACTGTCTCGACCATCCCTCGACATAAAGCTGTAATAGTACACATATTCTTCAAAGATGGATGATTAGGTACATCAAGTTGATAATGGTGCAACTGGAAGCTCAAGTTAATCCTTTCTTGATCAGAAAAAACATGAGGATAAAACATTTCAACAAGTGTGCATATATCACCAACATTGAATGAATTGAACCCATCACTAGGATCCAAAGCATTGCTTAGCACAAGAAGTTATGTATTGCGCTCACTGAACATGCTATTCAACTCTTCTAATTGCCTATCAATAGCAACCAAAAAGATATTCACTCGATAATGGTGCTCCACTTTCACTATATCCTTCTTGCGACTGGATTGAATAATATCAAAAATAGCATTCATATCAAGAACCGGGATATCCTTAGTCTCACAGAAAGATGTCACTTTGTTTACAAGTGAGTCCCAACCTTCATCTCTCAATTTTTGAATAAGCATTTTAGTAGTTGTGACTAAATGCATGGCATTCAAAATATCTTGAGACTTTTCTTGTAAACATTGCCAAATGATATTTGTAATCCCCATGACTTCTTTCATCAAATGCAATATAAATACAAAATCAAAAGACATCATCAATTTCAAAGCAAAAGTAGCATCATCACCACGTTGAAAGTATGAAGATCCTCCATCAAGTACTGTTTGGAGAACATAACAATTTGGACCAAACAATTTGATAAGACTACAGATTGAATTACTATGAGAGCTCCATCTTGTATATGTTGGTCTTTTCAAAGTTGTAATTTGATTTTGACCCCTTCCTGTATCAAGCTCATTGAGTTCAACTAACCAGGCTATTTCTTCCATTTGAGTGGCTCGTAATTCATCATTTCGTTTACATGAAACACCAACAATATTAATGACAAATATCACATTTTGAAAAAATGTGTGTGCTTCAGGCACTTCTCTAGATGCAGCGACAAGAGCCAATTGCAATTGATGAGCTAAACAATGAACATAATATGCAAAAGGACAATCTTTTAAAAATAAAGCTTGCAAACCATTCCATTGTCCTCGCATATTACTAGCACCATATCTAAACGAAAGAACGGAAGAAGATAAAGCGGTGTTGTGTGGTCTGCTCCTGCTATTTCAAATAGGTTATCCCACTTATTCTCAATTTGGTACTCCGTATCTAATTTTCCTTCATTTGTTTGAATGGGTTATTTCAAATGGGCTTAGTCCCTAGAGTTAGAGCCTTCCAATATTTTGGTTTCTTACTTTGTTATTTTGGGCTTTACAATGTAAAGGGCTGGATGAATATTCTACTATATCCAAAAATAAAATGTAGGGGCCAAAACAAAATTTAACATAGAAATTATATTTTTTTACCTATATACTCTTTTTTTTTGCAGGGGCCATGGCCCCCTCCAGCCCCCTGTCTTCACCCCTGAAAGTGGGAACCTTCTAATGGGACGGAGGGAGTAACATTTAAAATATAAATCAATAAACATTAAATAATGTACTCATATTTATTTAAAACATTAGAAAGTACATGATTAAACGTCATGTGAAATAGAATTTAGAGTGTCGCTCTTTCATGTCACAAAAATCATTTATAAGAGATTCGTTCACAATAGTTTTTTTTGCAATTTGCTTCTCGACATACACTGGCAAATGATCCTAAGAAATTCATCTTTCATCTTATTTCGAAGTGTAGCCTTCACGATGTTCATATTGAAAAGATAGTTATTTATTTCCCATAGCTAGATACTCGAAGTGTAAGAATGAGACTTACCACTCTGTATACGAGCGGGTAGATGTAGTTCTTACCAACTATTGACTTAGATAAAAACTTGAATCCAATGCTCCAAAACTAGGAAGCTGATGAGCATGCTCAAAATGCTGAAACTAAACTCTCAATCGCAAAATCTCATATTTTTCAAAATTATGCAGGTAAAATTTCTCTACCAAATTGTAAATGTCATCAATTGTGAACAATATGTGCATATCTTTTGAATAAGTGTTGTGTTAAGCGTTATTAACTCAATTGTTTTCTCAACAAGCTTACTATCCAATTCATAGAGTTGAGTATCACTCACCTCATGAAAAATGTTGAGTTTATAATGCAGTTCCACTTTCAATATATCTAGTTGATGACGGAGCCCCCTCCTTCTCGAGATATTTAAAGCATTGAAATCTAACACATGTATATTGTTATATTCATAGAAAGCTAGACCTCACATTTGGAATGAATTCGATCATGTCATCCATCATCTCGTGACTTTTAAATAAGAATTTAGTTGATGACACGTCTGAGATAAATTGCATTTAGGATATCTTGAGAGTGAAGTAGCAAAACTTGACACGTCATATTAGAAATCTATAAAACTTTTTTTATAAGATGCCAAATGAAGACAAATTCAAAAGACGTTAGCAGTAATAATGTGAAATTATTGCTTTCATAGAATTCTAGTTCTAGTAGAATTATTCAAACTACACACATATATATAAGAGATGGTTCAAATGAAAAGTGTTCTTAACGTGCAAAGTGCAAAGTTTGCACTTTTCCATGTTCCGCATGCACTTTTTCTTGCTTTCGTTGTACTTTTTCACGGCAGCTCAAAAAAATTGGTTTATTTACAAAACTGACACCGTCATTTTGGTAGAATTTGGCCAAAATCAAAATGGCCAAAAAGTGAAACGCAAACAAGCAAAAGTGCAAGCGAAACATGAAAAAGTGAAAACTTTGCACTTTGCACGGGAAGACCACTTTTCATTTGAACTCTTCCCTATATATATATATATATATATATATATATATATATATATATATATATATATATATATATATATATATATGTATATATATATATATGTATATATATATATATATATATGAGAGATCAAATACAAAGCATGTTTAATTTACTAACCTACAAACTCAATAATATTCAACACTTTGAACTTCAATATGCAATACAAATAATGTAAAGATGCACACTTTGAACTTCAATATGCAATACAAATAATGTCAATATGAAACTACCATTTTTATGACTTGAATAATATGCAATACTTTGAACTTCGATATGCAATACAAATAATGTAAAGATGCACAGTTTGTAGGTTAGCATGGGAAGATTGGTTTGTATGTGATCCCATCCCTATGTGTGTGTGTCAAGACTACCAATTCTTGGTCTATTCGACATTTAGATGTTAAAGATGCTTTCCTTCATGGTTATCTCACTGAGGAAGTTTATATGTGTCAACCCCTCGGTTTTGTTCATCCTCGATATCCTTATCATATGTGTCGTCTTAGAAAAGCTATATATGGTCTTAAGCAAGCACCTCATGCTTGGTTTTATCGCTTTAGTAGTTTTCTATTACAACATGGTTTTACTTGTAGCCGCTCCGACAACTCTTTATTCATCTTTCGACATGGGTCCAATATCATTTATCTTCTTCTTTATGTTAATGATTTTATTTTCACATGCAAATCTCCTTCCTTTTTGCATCACATTATATGTCTTCTCTCTCAAAACTTTGCTATGAAGGATTTGGGGGACTTAAATTTTTTCTTAGGTGTTCAAGCAATTCGTAATTCTCATGGTCTCTTTTTCTCTCAACAAAAATATGTGTCTGAACTGTGACATTGTTTTCACCATCACACTCTTAAACCTGTTCCCACTCCTCTACCTAGTCACACTAAATTGTCTCACACATATGGGGAGCTTCTTGTTGATGCTACTAAATTTTGTAGTATGGTAGGTGTGCTGCAATATTTGACCATGACTATTCAAATTGCCATGTGATAATGTGTCTGCTTCATATTTATCTACAAATCTCATTCAGCATACACGCAGTAAACACATTAATATTGATT